AGGCCGTGTCATTACTGCCATGTTTTAGTTCACTCAATGGCATGTAAAAGGCCCCTTGTCAGAAATGTTACACTCACCAACTTTTAAAACAAAAAAAAAAAAAAAAAAAAAAAAAACACGAGGCAAAAATGTCTCGTGGCTTCTTCTCATGTTGTTTAAACACATTTTTGAATATCTGTAAAGAATAAATATTTTTTCCAAACAAACAAAAAAAAGATGCATCCCACTCCATGTTCCATGCATGTGTGCCATTTACAGCTTGAAATACACACTTCTGCATAAAGCCACCCAACCAAGCATTCCCAAAACACAACACACTCCGCATGGCTCAGACCTGTAAAGCTATGCTTAAGACAAGCCAATCTCAGCTCCAACTATAAAAACAACTTCAGACAAAAAGCACAAAAAAAATCAAAATCAAATAAAAACAGACTACTGAAGAATCTCCACAGAAAGCTTGGAGAACGTAATACATTTCCGTGCCGTTTTGACAATCAACACTTACAGACTGCAATACTGACGTAGGAGTTTTATTTGAATATTCTACCTTTTTATTTCAGTAAAATTAACTTAAACTCTAAATAATAACAAAAATCCAGATGCCACGTAAAAAGGATGCAACATGTAGAGAGGTGATGGCCGACTGGAGACCACAGCTACGCTCCGAAGCCCGCGACGCAGCAGTTCTGTCTCAGTCTTCAATGTACTCCCACAAGTCTTTCTCATAGCCCTCGTGAACGTGCTGCAGCAGCACTCGTCGCCGGCTCTCACAGTATCTACACGAGAGGAGAAACGCAGGAAAGTCCTCAAACGTGAGCAGCGCTCAACACATTTCTCACAGGAACCTTGCAACAATGTTCATATCGAGTTAAACTAAGATAGATAGATAGCTTTCTGTAAGGGCATTTTCACTGGAGAATATAGAGATAAAATGGGTTTGTGCTACGGACGCTCCAGAACTTTCGTTTGCAGATTGGATAACCAACTCTGAAAGCAGCATGTTTAATCATACTTAATAGAAATGCTGAAAAGAACATATTTTCAAAGCCAGTAAGATGCTCAACTGTCAATGCATTTTCACTGAAGACTAGATGCATTAAAAATTCACGTGGCTGCAAATTTAATTGTACTAGCGTTTATCCTAATTATTACTGTACACAATGTGACAAAAAAATACTTTAAAATATTTGCAATTTTCTAGATACTCCTGTTGGATGCTGGCTGATTAATAAAGAGAGTTTGCTGTTCAAAACAAACTGCTTGCATGCCCTGACTAAGATTAACCAACATCTTATGTAATTCACTGTAACAGATGTTGGAGTCAGCAGGTACAGATGTGTGTGTATTACATAAAATCAAAAAAGTTCTTTTGGAGTAATTGCATTCATTATTTATAATTATGACATTCATAATTAGGTTTTTCTATACAGCTGTCAATTTATTTAAACAATTTTTTATACATACAGAATTTTTAAATACACATTTAAATATATAAATCCATATTTTTAAAATAACAACAGCTACAGCTTTATTAGAAATGAATTGTCTCCAGAATTCACCCAATGTGTCAGTCATTAAATCTATTAAACATTTTCCGTAAATTGAATTAAAGCTGAAATAAAATGTGAATACGAGATGGAATTTTGAAAATTAAAAGTACAATTACTAAACGTAATACTGAAATAAAAAGCAATTCAAGCTAAACAGAAATATTATAAAAAGACAAAAGCACATAAAATTACTGAAACTTAAACTAAAATGAAAACTAAAAATAAAAGCTAATTCAAATTCCGTGCATTTAGAAGAAGAAAAACAACAACAAGAACAAGACACAATATTGGGATTTTGGTTAAATTTCTCACCTATACTTATCCTGAACTTTCTGTTTGATATCTTGCAAAGAATCCTGGGAGATATCTCGCTCTAGATAACCCGAGAGCACCTCTGTAGCGTTCTCCAAATCAGCCTGATTGTTCTGGAAAAAAAAAAAACAGTAGTAAGACATCAGTGCGTTGATTTCTCTGGCAAGTGTAAACAATGTAATGCTATAAAAAAAAATTAAGTTTGAATGTTAGTCCCACCAACAGCAGACTGGTGGAGTGTTTTGGAAACCGGTCCAAAAATAGTCATTATTTTTGCAGCTATAAAACAGTCAACCACATGGGGTTGTGCAATTAAAAAACAACAACAACTTGATTTCCCCCTCACCTCGAAGATGATGGACTGGTTGTTCTTTTTGAGGTAGAAGGCGAAGACGTAGGTGAACATGAGCGTGGAGCGACATTGGCACAGCACATCCACGGCCTTCTTCAGGAACTGCACCTCGATCCACGACATGTTGTGCTGCTGCATCTCCTCCATCTTCTGCTTCACCTGCGCATACAACTTGTGCTCGAAGCGCAGACTCTGCATGTGGTTCATGTAGCGGTTGCAGTAGAAGAGGTAGCGCTGCAGGGCTGCACGAGATCGCTGTGACATGGATAGAATACATTCATTCCAAAGAGAACAACAGTAACAGGCCATGGTTTGCTCTGAACAGGGAAAAGTCATGCTTTCCTGCAAGAGCTAATTTGAGTCTCCTTGGATAGATAAAGGATGACAGATGTTGGGTCGAATAATGCCTAAAGTACCTCTTGAGCATCTCTGGCTGCCTTTGCATCATCTTCATTGTAGCGATTGCAGTTGTACCTGTAGTCAGTGTGATATGTACATGTTATTTCAATGTTCCACATGCATATAAAAATATAAGCATTTATTATAAGAGGTGAAGCAGACTCACCAAGCAGAGCCGTGAGGTTCCCAAGGGCCGAGGCAAACCCAGCAGAACTCTGCTTTACAACTCTGGTTTCGACACACCATGTGATTACAGCCGCCGTCTTTTTCAATGGTCACATGACATTTGGGACATTCCTAAGAAAAACAGGAATACCCACATGAATTAAAGGAATATTTTGGGTTTATTGACATATTTACTGATCATCTGTAGCATCCTACTGATTCAAATAAAAATTAATTCTGTGTTTTTCTGTCAATATGGGGTGCTGTGTGTACATTAATGAGGAAAAAAAATTAACTTAAATGATTTTAGCAAATGGCTGCAATATAACAAAGAGTGAAAAATTTAAGGGGGCCTGAATACTTTCCGTACCCACTGTGTATATATAAATAATAGTATTGACTAAAGTACACTTTCTATATTTTGACTCTTTTGTCCTGCATATCTGTTAATGCCAGTCAAATAAAATGTAAATAAATTTGTTAAACAAATGGCCAGACCTGTTTAACAAAGTTAAACAATGCTCTTTTTTTCTGGAGACAGTATGGGCTTAAAGTAGAATAACTTTCTCTTCATCACAATAATAAATAATAATTTATTCATTTAACAGACGTTTTTATCCAAAGCGACTTACAGTGCATTCAGGCTATACATTTTTTATATATACAATAAATACAATAATCTATACAATAAATAAATAAATAATAAATTATATCAAGTGAACTGATCTTCATAGATCTCATCTGAGTGTTTATGTACATCTTAGTACCTTGGTATTTGCTGCAATCCAGTTGGATGTTTCACTGTCATCATCACACTTCTTTATCCACTTCCTCAACCACTTGAAGAGTAGAAATATGATTAAAGAAAAGGAAAACCTCTCAGGACAAATCTAATCTAGTAATATCAATTTTAACAATGGAAATAATCTAACCTAAAAATGAGTGCCTAATGATAACATGACGATGAGTGCATAATTAGATGCTAACATACCTTGCATTTAACAGGGTCATGCCAGTTCTCTCCACAATTGAAACTATTTATTGAGAAAAACAAAACAAAACAAAAATAAATTAAAGGGAGTCGTTCACACAAAAATGAAAATACTGTCATTACTTACTCCCCCTCATGTCGTTCCAAAGCCATGTGCTGTTATTTTTTTCTTACATATTAAAAATAACAGCACACAGCTGATGTCGAGTCAATAATGACAGAAAAGGGTGCACAGCAGAACAAGCTGCTTATACTAACATCATTTATATTATTGCAGCGTTAACACATGAAGCTAAAGGATGTTGCTGATCCACTGAAGCTCTGCACTGCATTCTGCATCAGACTCTTACCAGAACTGTCTCCCGCATTTGCAGCGAACTGGTTTGGCATCAGGATACTGAACTTTGATCACATGGTGGCAGTCAGGAGCTGGACACCATCTCAACAGTCTGTTACACTGTAGAAGAGCAGAGAGACAAAACAGTTCACTGCAGACAGACATATATTACATTATAATTACAGATATGCACCGGTATTTAAATAAATGTCATATTCATGCCATTCTAAAGCTGAACCACAAAGAAACCATATATGATTTTTAGATTTAGCACCAGATCGGTTACTATATTTATTGGACTTTGTTTATATTTTCTGAGTGTGTTAAATAAGCCTTGGACACAAGTTAGTTAGCAAAACGTGAAAGGAACAGTTCACCCAATAATTAAAATTTGCTGAGAATTCACTCACTCTCAGACCATCCAAGATGTAGATGAATTTGTTTCTTAATCAGAAGAGATCTGTAGAAATTTAACATTACATCACTTGCTCAGCAATGGATCCTCTGCAGTGAATGGGTGCCGTCAGAATGAGAGTCCAAACAGCTGATAAAAACATCACAATAATCCACAAATAATCCACAGCACTCTAGTCCATCGATTAATGTCTTGTGAATTGAAAAGATGCATGTTTGTAAGAAACAAATCCATCATTAAAGGGGTCCTATTATGCTTTTTCAGTCCATAATCCATAATAATGCTTCCCCCCGTGAAAAAGTCCATCCCCCGTTGTTCTCTAA